AAGAGTGTGCACATGTGCGTGCCTTGAGCATGCATGTGTCCCTATGTGTGTGTGTAAGGGATGGTGTTAAGAGCTGATCAAAATGCTGTTATCATGATGGGATTATACTGTCTAGCAGATTGGCTGTAGGTCTTCAAGTTGTCCATGCTCCTTCCTCCACCACTGACAGTGATTTCTGTGAGCAGTCTAGGAAAAGGCACATTTCCTCTGAAGTTTTCTCTGATAAAATTGCTGGTCACTTTTTTGTCTCACCTGGAAGATCCATTAGACAATCTGCAAAGCACCTTGAAGATGCCAGGTATTATCCACATGGTGAAGTTTATTACTGATCCCTAGCATAAGTCTATTTTTTTCTCTTTTTAATTACAAGAGGAAAAGTCAAATTAGCTTTTCTGCTCTGATGCTTCATCTTTCTTCCTAAATTTTAGGAGTTAAAACAAGATATTTCCAGCTTTCGTTTTGAAGTCCTGGGTTTGTTGAAAGGAAGCAAGCTGACTAATTTGCAGACTGCAAAGATGAACAAAGACACTTCCTCTCTGTCAGAAAATGAAGAAAATAGTGAGAGTGAAGAAAACAAGAAAGGAAAGAAAAAGAACTTCAGCCTTTTTGACATAACAACCATGATTCACCCAAGATCAGCCACTATTGCCTCTGAAGCACATAATGTAAGCAATGGCTCAGCAATGATGGTGTCAGAGTCCACTAAGGAGAAACAAAAGCGTGTGAATTTTGTTACAGACATAAAAAATTTTGGGTTATTTCACAGACGATCAAAACCAAACTCTGTGGAGCAGAGTACAAATAAAATATACACTGTTTCTGAAGAAGTTTCCCGTCAACAGGCAGAAGAACAATGTGAGAAAACTGATGAACTAGAAGAGGGAGAACTGACCATGAACTGTGAATTAAACATCCAAAGCCCTGACAAAAAATGCGTGTTAGCTGAGTCACAAAATAATGGTGACTCTTTGGATTCACAGGAAGAGGGAAGTATTTGTGCTTCAGAAACAGAGAATGTGGAGTTACAGAACTCAGAACCAGCCACACCACAGGATCAGCTGGACAAGGAGTTGGACATTAACATTGACTGTGATGAGAAACAGGAAACAATTGATCAGGGTGATTATGTGATAACAAGGTTGTGATGCTTACAAGAGGAAGCATTTACAAATATATATATTTTGCATAGTGCTTTGGCGGGGGGGGGTATGTTCTAAGAGTTATATTAGCAAATGCAGAATTACACTTTATAGTACTCAACTGTGGCACATGATCTTGTAACATAGTAGTCAAAAGAAAGATAATATGGGAACCTTCTGTTTTGTAGCCTGCTTTAGCTTTCACGATTTGTTTTACATTTTTTAATAAATGGAAGCATCTTGTATTCTTGTACTGTTGCAATAACCCACAGAAACTTTTTAGCTATCTTTTTCAATTACAACAAATGCAATTTCTCTCATATGATAGTTGACTCCTATGATAAATATTTTTCTATGCAAATAAAAAGTAGCTTAAGAGACTTGTAAGCCTTTATTTAACTTTGTAGGTTCTTAAAAGATTCTGGGCACCATAATAATCATAAGCTACTCCTGTCAGCATAAATCATGTCAAGCTATTAGAATCATTTATTTAAATTGCTATAAACTTAATTTGTTTCAAAAGCTATACAGAATCAAAGGATAAAGTATATTCTTTTATTTATTGAAGGAATATGAAAACCTGTAAATTATGAAAGACCAGTCTACTTGATTATTTAATTACAGCTTTTCCCCCTCAGCAAAAGGATTATCACCATCCTGATACCATTGTTAGAAGCATCTGCAAGATTTGAAGACTGTCAAAGAAAGTGTTTCTTATAGGAAAAGAAATAACTGTGGCTTGCTAAAAACTGATGACGGATTACTCCCTGGAAGTCTGTAATCACATTAGTTACTGCTTCTTCAATCATTTATTTTTCCAAACATGGACAACCTACGCATTTTGCCTTCAACCTATGCTTTTGACTTCACAATACACTCGTATTTGCTAAGAGGAAGATACTTCAGGAATAAACAAACATACAATTATCCCCTGAGTACTTGGAAAAATGCGGCAATTTGTTGAGAAGTTTTTAAAGGCAAGCCTTAAGAGAGTTTCTTTCACAACTTCAGAGTTTTGGGGGAACATGATTGGAGGTTTTGATAAAAAATTCTTAGACATTTAAATGTATAAAGAAAACCTAATAGTATTTTTCATAACTGATGAGTGACTTATTGTCTTAGTCTAAACCAGTATTTTTAAAATTAAACAGTCTGTTTCTTTTTAACCAGTGACTGGTGTCCTACATTATTAAAAAAGTAATTTTACAGCTGACCTAAGAATAACCAACTTTTTACTATCAGCACCATCCTTCTTCTCCCTTGGAAACATCGAAATATATCACATCAGTGTGGTCATTTCATTCTTAACTTGCCTAGCCCTGCCATGATAGATTTTGCAGTTTATATAAGTCTGTATTAAGGAACCTCCAGATGCATAGAGTACGCTTACATTGCAGATGAAAACCATCACAAATAACTGCCACCTTGTAGGACCTGACAGCCATACCATTGTGGATCTAAACTGTCATGGTACTGAACTGAGTTTTGAAATTCCACATAAATCCCTCTCATTTCTATACTTTTAGGTGAGTTCTCTAGCCCTACTTTATACATGTAGTATTGTGAACTCACATATTGAAAGCTTCCTTCCTGTACATCTATCTATCTGTGCCATGGCACCTAGGAGTGAATTAGTTGAACCAAAATGGCAAGTATGAGCAGCAGTTGGAAAACAGTTTGTATAGCTTTTCAACAATACATTCAAACTACATTTGATTGCTAAGATATGGTTGATTTCCATCTTGGCCTCTTGACTTCTCTGTGGACCCCTTCCCCCCCTCCTTCATGTCTCTCTCCTTGTCCATCTTTAGATTGTGAGCTCCATGGGGCAAGGCCTGTAGCTTTTCTGTTTGGAAAGCACCTGAATTATTGCAAGCATAAAAAGAAATAAATAATAATGGTGGAAAAACTTCATATCATTTTTACTAGGTCAGCTCTTTTAGAGAGTTCTTTTCTCTACTGTAAAATTTGTGTTAGAAATGGCATAAAGCAAACGTGTCATATGTTTTCATGAAGTTCTTTATATCCTAGGTAACAGTCCTTCTCCACGATCAATTTCATATTCTCATTCTTCATCATGGTTTGTAACACCTTAGAGTTCTAAGCTTAGCACCCTTTTACTAGCCAAATTCAAAACAAACAGTCCTTGCTCTAAAGCACTTTCAATGCATTTCAGCCATGTGGTTTCATTCCAGAAAATACGTGCCTGAGCAGGGTATTTATAATGCCTTTTATAAGTGCCATTATCAGAACAAGTTAACTACCACAGGCCTAAGAGCTCAGCATGTTATTCTGCCATTATAAGAGTCTGTTTGTCCTGTGCATGAAGTTCCCAACAGGGTGAAAACACAGAACAATTTAGCTGAAACATTAGCCATGCCATCACATCATGTTCTCACTGGGCTGGGAGTCGGTCTAAGCCTAAGAGTAGATGCAAGACAGAACACCAAAGACAGTGCAGGTGGGCAAGATGCTTAGGCATAAGGCCATGACATTGTATTGCACAGCAATAGGTGATCAGTCTTTTGCTTTCTTTTTTCTTTCTTTATAACTGAATGTTGAAGTAAAGGTTTATTAAATAAAGCGTACTTCAACATTTGACCAATTTTTATGTCATTCTTAAGCATCAAAGCCTGACACCAGTAAGAACCTAATCCTGTTCCGTTTAAATTTAATGGCAAATAGGCACCTCATTTTGTGAAAACAGATAACAGCTCAAAATATGTCCAAATTTAAAATGGTGGTGGACTTTTATTGCTTTGCAGACAGCCAAAAAAACACCCCTTCTCATTGTATGCCTCCAAGAGGATGTCTGTACCAAGAAAGATTTAGAAGTGCACAAGGTTTGTAACGCCACAGCAGAGGCATTATTAAGCTTTGCAAAGGTGAGGATACTTTCTCCTCAAGAGAAATAAAAGGTTCAAACCTACCCATCCCTGTCTGCAGCCTCCATTAGCATCAGGATAGGAGGAACACAAAAATCCCAAGGATATAAATTTCTATTAAAAACAGTCTTTTGAAGCAGAACTTAAAATCAATAAATGTTTCAAGGAGTTAGAAAATTGTCTAAATAAAAAGTTGTTTCTAAATACAAAGGTGTTTAATCCCAATATTCTGTTGTTCAGGATTTTTAGAAAACATTTTTTTAAGTTATACATTTTTATTTTTTTTTTTTTTTCTTGTAAGGACAAAGCCTGACTGCACTTTGCATTTTCATCAGCTCCTGGAGAAACAGAGATATTATAGACAGCACAGCAGGACTTTTCTACCCGGGCATAGATGTGCAGGAGCAAGTCTGAATTCTTTCAACCCACTCCTCCCATGCACAGCAGGTCTGGGTCAAAACAGACTGGGTAGTGGGTATCTTGATTCAAGGTTGGTTTGACTTCCACTCTCTCCAGGCTACACGTATATTCAATCAGAGGTCAGTGACACAAGGACTGCATGCTATACTTTCAAAACAAAATTGCAACAGCTGCTTCTGACTCTGCCCTCAATGGCACTGCAGAGGTGAGAGCCATGCATCAGACAGTTCAGACTGCTGGGCTCCAGCTGTGAGCCAGCTGTGGGCCACTGCACTATCTATATGTGGTACAGTATCACCAGAGAACAAGCTGGGTAGATGCCTCTAAGGGGGAACGATCTTGTTTTCTTGGTCCGCAGATTGAGACCATTGCATTTTGACTGGTGTGGGCCAAATATCTCACACATGCTGTTTGTATGAGGCACTTGGCACACAGCACTGTTTTATTTCTTTTTTGATAGGTCAGGATTTAGTGAAAAATTCTATGACTTTCCCAATCTGGGTTTTCCTGTGAATAAGTAGTGTCTAGTTCCAGGAGAATGTATATTTTCATCATACTTATAACTGTTGAAACCTGTAAAAGGTGAGGATATTTCTGGTACTTAGGCACCCAAAAGTTCTTCAACAGAATGTTTGAAACAAGAATGTCTGAAACAAGAATGTCTTCCTTAACAGCATTCTTGGACTGATCTTCCAGAGGAGAATTTTTGCCTAGCTTCCTCAGGAATAAAGTGCAGACAAAAAAGACACAGAATTGATTATAAGTCCATCTCAAAGCCCACTGTACATGTATTGCAGGCTACAACATCCCATTTCCTCTCTAAACTTCAGACGGATATTTAATCAGATTCTGGGTAGTAGCATGAAAGAGAAAAGAAGCAGATCATGCTTAACGATTTTGGTGAGGCAATAAGCTTTTAATACAGTTCAAAATGTTTGGTATCAATTTTTCTTCTGGGAATATAGATGTTCAAGTTGGACAACAACATAATCCATCTTCATTTTAAAGTCTCTTAAGAGATACCAACAGCTTTAGTGAGTAGAGCAACCTCATAAAAACAATAGTACTTGTAATGGTAATGGTAATTGCAGTAGTAGTAGTAGCAGCAATAATAGTAGTAGTAAATATAAGTGTAAACATAGTAATTCTATGCATTTACCCCTGGGATGTGAAATTCTTTAGTTTTAATCCCTGCTCTAAAATTTGCCCTTTTCCCATGTCGAACAACTATTCGACAACATCAGTAAGGTGTCGTTGGGGACAGCTGTCCTTCAACGTAAGAGCTCTAATCTCTAGACTACAACTCTTACTTATCTCTGTTTCAACAATTTGCCTAGCCAAAGCTTTAGTTATGGACCCTACATTCACTGCAGAAGGACCAGAGAGATCCTTTGAGACAGTTTATGGTTACATAAACAGTTTATGGTTTTGGTTATATTACAAAATAACTTGCTGTGGTTAAGGATGAATTTGAACCCTCCAGATATGAAAAAAAATTGAATCCATCGAACTACATCAAATCAAGTTCATTAACCAGTGATTTAGTACTTGAAAATTTTCCTTATTTGTACTCATGCAAAAGAATGGAGCAGAGATCTCCTTGTTAACATTCAACCAAAAATAACTTGCAGCCTTCAATCTTCATGAACACAGGACTGTAAGATAACTCAGTCATACAATATATTTTGATTTTATCACAAGTCCCTCCATCATATAATTCTCCTCGTAAATAAATCAAATCCTGTGCTGTTATTAAATATAGTTATGAAATATATATACATATGAAACTTTGCAACCATTTATATCCATAGCCTTTGGGTAGTCACTGTCTTTTAAATTTATAGCTTTTCACTGTACTCTTCCCCCTTCAGCCTTGGGTTT